AGCAGGACAATGATCCCAAACACACCAGCAAGTCCACCTCTGAATGGCTCAAGAAAAACTAAATTAAGGTTTTGGAGTGGCCAAATCAAAGTCCGGACTTAAATCTGATTGAGATGCTTAAACAGTCCATTCATGCTCGAAAACCCTCCAATGTGGCTGAATTAAAACAATTCTGCAAAGAAGAGTGGACCAAAATTCCTCCACAGCGATGTGAAAGACCCATTGCCAGTTATCGCAAACACTTGATTGCAGTTGTTGCTGCAAAGCGTGGCACAACCAGTTATTAGATTTAGGGGGCAATTACTTTTTCACGTAGGGCCAGGCAGGTTTGGACAGCTTTTTTCCATTAATAAAATAAATAATCATTATCTTTGTGTAATATTAAAATTAGTTTGATGATCTGAATCTTTTAAGTGTGACAAATATGCAAAAAAATTAAACAACAGGAAGGGGGCCAACACTTTTTCACACCACTGTATGTAAATATTTTAATACAAATATAAGAACAAAGCAAATATTGTCCTTTCATAAACATTTCTGACACAGTCTGCAGCATTTGATTTATTTGCTGAACAACCTGACAAAACAATGCAAAACTTCAGGTCACTCACAAGCCATAGCAGGAGTTGATGGCCAAGCTGCTGATCTGCTGGGGCGGCTCTCCACTGACCCACACCAGCTGTACCACCAGCTCCACCTGATACCCTGGAGACTGCTTCAGAGGACTGCAGCGCACCCTGAGGGAATGACAGAGAGAGGAGACATGGGTTATACACAGTCCCTGCCAAAAACTGTATAACATTTACTGTATAGTGTGATATATTACATACTGGGGATGAGCATGGGTACCCAAGCACTTGAAAGTGACATTCATGATTAATCATAAAAACGGTTTTATTTTTTATACTTCAAACAAGCAAAATCCAGTAATGTGCCAAAAAGGGGCCTCATGGTGCAACTTTGCTGTCTGATTTGTCAGACAACAATTTGCATCAATACCGCACAAACTAACTTTCAGTCTGTGGCAACTACATTCCTCAATGCTTTCTTTGGAAACAGCCAGACAAAGCGCAGCTGAATGGAACAGAACACACAAGTCCTGAAATGTGTTTGTAAAAGCTGAACTATTTTTAACTTGACACTTATATTTGGTGCATTCTGTCTGTTGGGTTCTCACAAATCAAATAAGCTGATCATGTGAACTCCTTTGTACAGACAGTCAGATGTTTCCAATACAGTGAAACACAAGATGCTCTTTGGCTCATTTTCAAATCATGCTGGATCATCTGGTCATCACAAATTTGTGGAGTTCATACAAATTGAGCGCTGATGTTATTAAAGCAAATGCAACATACCAAATGCTAAAAATACTCTAAAATATATATATATATATTTTAATTTAGTAATCAAAATGTTCTGTTAATAATATAATTGCATTAAAAAAAAGTAAAATAAAGGCATTTACTGTACACAAATAGTCTCAGACTTTTGGATCCCCCGTTATGTGTATTAAAATATAACTTGCAAAGCAGAATTACTTGAGGCAGGGTATGTTGTCTCGGATCCCATCTGATGAGTTGCTGCTAGTGGAGGTGTATGTCTGAGGAGCGGCAGTTTGTGGACTAGGGGAGGTGCTTGGTGTGGGAGGAGCTGGTGTCTGATCTCCTCCCCCTTCTGGAGACTCCAGATCATTCAGCTCATACTGTAACCTGACCTCCAGTAACTGTAAAACACACACATATGTACACATGTAATTGAAAAAATCGTGCTTGAGAACAGATAAACGCACGAGTTAATTGATCCCCATCGGTGTCGCTATTCTGAACATGAGACACGCTAATTGGTGTGCGTGTCTTTTCCAAGTGAGTGTTCCTATGTGTGAGAGTCACTGGACTAAAGGTGTTAAAAGGTTTAATTTGCCCTCATTATACAGAAGTGTGAATGTTCTGTCAGCAGACGATGGTAACACTAATGGTTTATCCCACATTTGCACTGAGCATGCACCTCTGTTAACCAATCAGATTCGTTCTGTCCCCAATTGGACTGTATTCAAACATTTGATTCATTATTATCCTGGTTATATGAGTCATGTATTAATATGTAAATAAGTTGATTAAGCATTAATAAAGCACTATTGCTTAATTGCTTCAGTCTACCACATTATATATTTTCCCACAATAAATCATATGTAAATTCAAATTATTCACAGATATACTTTCTAATAGCATTACCATAAGCACTCATTTATTTATGGGTCACGGAAGCATCAATATGCAAATGTACAGCTTGCAAAAAAAAAAAAAAAAACAGTGAGAGGGCAAAATGAATGCAGTATTAATTATTCAAGCTCAATATACAGCTAGATGTGGTGAACATTAATTAAAACGGCTTTGAAAGGCTTAGGGATTTAGTTAAGCATCTGAGTAACAACTGTTCCTCGGATATCCTTAGTTGGCTCTGTAGACAGCACATACACGTACAAATGCACCAACACATTCAAGTTGCTGAACAACATCCATTTAATGAACAGATTTTATAATATTATTAACGTTATGAGTCATGGCAGTTGTCAGGAAACTAAAATAACTTGAGACGGGGAATAAGAGAGAGACAGAGTGTCTGTGAGAGCAGCATTACTCATTCCACTTCAGAAAACAAAGTTTTTAAGTCAATAAAAAAAAATAATTCTTACATATTTCTTGCAAAATAATTCTTACATTAAAAGATAAATAAATAAATAAAAAATTGTATAAACAACATATTTTTACCTGCACAACTTCTGTGGTGATTTCCTGTTTGCTGAACCTGTATATGATGACATGGGCAGAGACACCAGCCACACAAAGCATGCGGCTCTCGGGACACCAAGACATCAACTGAATGGCAAACGGGTCCTCATCCACAATCTCTGTGCTGGGTTTCTCCTCCTTACAGCGTGCCTTCTCAAACACCTTAGCTGTCTTCAGCTTATACAGCACCTGGAGCATTACTGAACACATGGCAAATGGGATTCAAAGGAAAAAGGAAGAGATAATTGCATTCAACCAGTCATTAACACAAAATTAGAGATTTTTATCATATTGTCATCCAACTTCACTTTAATGTTCAAGTTAATCTTTAAAAACATTAAGAACGGTTAAATTGGAAAAAAAAAACATTGTTAAAATGTAATCTTATACAAATCTCAAAATAAATATCAATTTTTCATACTGTACATTATAATGTTGTGATGTTTAACTTCACATTTAAAATGGAATTTGAACATTTATTGTTGATCAGCCATAACAAGAAAATAATGAATGGCTTATTGGTATCGGACAGATTTTTAATATTGATGCATCCATATGTTGTATTAATTTGAAGAGGTTTATTTTGCATATACATTTTGCATTTTACCAGCTGACTGTACATTATCTGTTTTATTACACAGCTACTTCTCAAATGAATGAATAAATGAATGAATGGACACAAACTAATTTTAACAAAAATTATTTTAGACACTAAAGGGTTAGTTCACCCAAAAATGAAAAATCCAAACTCTATCATTGCAGTCAGCGGGTGTTGCAGTTGAACAGTCCACAAGTCGTCAAATAAAGCTCACGCATCCATATTAAAACGTGCAGCAGACAGCTCCGAGGGATGATTAAAGGCCACCTGTTGCGAATCCATGAGTTTTTGTAAGAAAAATATCCATATTTCAAACGTAATAAACACTTTTCTCTCACTTCCGCTGACTGTCATACACTGAAGCAGTTCTGGCGGATGACGTAAGACGCGCGGCGTTGCGTGATTAGTGACGAATGCGTACAAACCGACGATTTGCAAAGAAAAATGTCGGAGGATTTCGATATAAACCCAGAGGAGACTGGTTTTCCTTTCTTAAAGTAAGGAAACTTTGCTTCCTTTACTCCTATTAAACAAGCTCGCGAGACTAGCATATCTTGCATACATCATACGCCTTCCGTCGGAATGGATCCGCGTATGATAGATAACAGAAGTGAGAGAAAAGTGTTTATTACGTTTGAAATATGGATATTTTTCTTACAAAAACTCATGGATTCGCTACAGGGGGCCTTTATTCATCCCCCGGAGCTGTCTGCGACATGTTTTATTATGAATGCGTGAGCTTTATTTGACGACTTGTGGACTGTTCAACTGCAACACCCACTGACTGCAATGATAGAGCTTGGAATAGCCAGGACAATTTTTAATATAACTCCGACTGGATTCGTCTGAAAGAAGAAAGTCATATACACCTAGGATGCTTCGAGGGTAAGTAAAACACAAGACACACAAAACTAATTTTCATTTTTGGGTGAACTAACCCTTTAATCTACCACAATTGTATAGGAAATAAGTTGCTTTGGACAATTACCAGTTTAGCAGTTATTAGACCACAAAATGCTGTGAATAAACCATTCATAATCTATAGTATTCCAAAGAACTAAGTCATATAACTTCTAGATTTGTACAGTTAATGCTTTAGAGGATTAAAAGAATGATGGGAAATGTTTTAATGCCGTCATATGCATAAATGTGTTTTGTCCAATTTTTGAGGGCCTCTAATCCACTGACTCCAATTGTTCAGTTCAGCCAAAGCAAAAAAAATATTAAATGGCATAAGATTAGCCACTCTGTCTTAGCAGGATTAAAAAGTCTAGTCTAATTAGCTTTATATTTCATTGGTGGACAAAATGAGGGCCTCTTTGGTTTTAAATGATTTCCTACCATTAGGAAAAGCCATTTGAATGTTAAACAAGTGCTTGTGTGAGGGGTTTGCAACCTTTGTGGTATTTTTAATATTACGATATGTCCTTTAGCACCTACGGGAGGTACAGGAACAGTGGAAACTGTAGTCTGTCAAGCTTACAGTTTAAACAAGGTGAAATGACATGTACAGGTAACACTCTCACCACACTGGTCTCTCTCAGCGGTGCAGAAGGTTAGACAAAGCCTGTGGGATCTCGGGAATTTTTTGTGTGTGACATTATACGGTCAGTCTCCAGTTGGGTCATAAATCATGGAAAATTACCTTATTGTTAAGGTAAATGATGTCAAGTTATACTCCAACAGTGGTCAGCAGAATCCAGTTTTTATTTCGATATCTAACTGTTAGTCGAATGTGATTGTAACTGTAGCCAAAGACCCTTTCAAAGAAAATCAGTTCACTTGGCGGCCACATTTGCAACGCCTCTGGGCATCTATTTCGGGCATGCAAGAACAACTCTTATCTGCTCTATGTGCAGTCTTAACGCATCTCAGGAAACTGATTCTTTCTATAGAAACCAGAGATTCAGTTTTGCGAATTGGTGATGTGATGACTTTACCAATTGGCAATTGGCTCCTCCTGACTAATTCCACTATATTCACAGTAATATATTCACAGCAATATGATTGAACCATCCTGGTCTACAGTCTTTGCTGTAGCCAAAATAGCAGTGCATGTCGCTAGCAACACCAAGGTCATGGGTTTATGTCATAGAATAGCACAAATCTGATATAAAACTTTTGTTTTTAGACAAATGTGTCTGCCAAATTCAATATGAAATGCAAATGTGTTTGAAGTTTATGAGCTTTGAAAAACTATTATACCGAACACATTGTGGTAAATGGAGCTATAATGCTGCACACAAGTGGTAAATGGGGTGAATATGAAGTCAGAAAGGCTCGGTACTCACTTGCTGATGCATCCCAGAACTTCACTGAACCATCTGCATGCCTTCAAGAAGAGCAGAGAATCTTTTATTTCAACTGTCTCATACATTTTTGTACACAAACCCACATAAACTCACTGGCACTTTCCCATTACCACATGTATTCAAACAAATCACTGAGGTAAGCTAAGGTGCAATGTCAGATAAAAGCTAGTCAAGAGATGAGAGGAAGTGCTCTTCCCACTGCTGTCAAACCCACTAAAAAAGCAAAAAAAGGTTCTGTCATCCCATGGGCTGTACATCAAAAAATGCTTACTTTTTTGTCATACTTCCCTTTCGCTACCATCTTGTCCTGCTCATTACCCTCTCTTCTGCACTCCTCCTCCCTCTTCTTATACCCTGCCTTCTTATTTTACTCCATTTAAGTTTTTTCCCCATTTTTGCCATTTCAGCAGAACTACAAACGGCGAAAGAGAGAGAACAGAGCATACACACACACATTCTTACCCAGTTATTATTATTTCAGGGTAGCTTTGTGTGCCCAGGCCCCAGTTTCCGCCACTGATAGGCCATTCCTGTGATGAACAACAAAACCACAGAAAAGCACTTAAATCCACGAAAGCTTACCGCATAAATCAGACATTTCTTGACATATAAGAATAGAGGAAATTTAGTAGATATTGCCCTAAAGCGTGTGAGCATTCCTGGGAAACTTAATAAAACGAAATTGGCCAATTTGTAAGTTTTAGTAAGCATACTCTTAATATAATGACTGTGGCTGGCACTGGCAGCCACAAAACATTTCTGCAATGTGGGTGGAACCTTTATTAAATGGCTGGCGAGGCTCTACAAAAAAAAAGCATTCTAGGAAAGCATTTCCTCACAAGGCATGGAAGCTGAAGCAGTTTATTCAAAGGTATTCAGAAGTGCTGTGATTCAAAGTGGGCCGTCTGAGTTAACCTGCTCCCTGTGGGAGACAGACCCACAACTAACACACCGCACTCCAGTCTTGGCTGAGAGGTCATGCTTTCTTTCATACCCATAAATACCCCTGTCTGTGACTGACCCACACAGTCTGAGGACACAATGTGCTGCACAATGGGGGCCTGATGTCACGCAGGCATAGGGCAACGGGGTGATTCACCAGAGACTGCAATCTACTCACTCAAAAGCCAAGGGGTGTGTGTGTGTAGGCAGGACGTTTTAGCTTAAAAGACATCATTAACTGATTAGCACCTTTAAATGAGTGTGTGCATGCTGTTGTACCTTTTTGCTGTAGCCCTGTCGTTTCTGGCGAGACCCGACAGAGTAAAGTGCAGGTATGAGGTCCACAGGACAATCGGCTAAGTACTCACAACACGTCACAGGAGACTCATGAATCATCATGGGATAAGGATTTTCAAAGATAGGGTAACTGAAAAACACCACAGGTCAAAAAAATCTAATTGACACTGTTGTGGAAAAGTGTGATAGTGTCAAACATGTTAGTCACAAATATGACGCAAATGCTGTGGGTGATACATACCCGTTTTGTGCAAGGTCAATAACAACTAAATCCTTTTCGAGGAGGACCACTACAGCATATGGTTCCTGAAAATCTGCAGAGAAATGAAAACAGGATGGATAAAATCATGAATAAATTGCTACATATTTGTACATATACAAATATTTCTACAAATACCGTTTACCACTAGTTATTTAGATGTTGTTGTTTTTTAAAGAAATTAATACTTTTATTTAGCAAAGGGACATTAAATTGATCAAAAGTGACAGATAAGACATTAATGTTACAAAAGATTTCTATTTCAAGTAAATGTTGTTCTTTTGAATTTTCTATTTATCAAAGAATCCTAAAAAAAAAGTACCACAGTTTCCTCAGAAATATTAAGCAGCAAAAGTTGCATGCAACAGTTTTCAACATTGATAATAATAAGAAATGTTTCTTTAGCACCAAATCAGCATACTAGACTGATTTCTGAAGGATCATGTGACACTGAAGCCTGGAGTAAAATTCACCTGTTCACCTGTTTTGACACCCACACTTATAATAAAATGTGGATCATATTTATTCCATTGAAGTTATGACTGGAGACATCACTGCATAAGTTTGAACCTCACAAATGTCTTAATAATGAGTCAGAACCAACGACGTCTCATTTCAAATATAGCTTAATCAACGTAAAGAGCCAGGCACTGTTATGCAAGCAGCAGTGCAAACACTGTTCCCATTCCTCCCGCATTCTTCACTGCTTCTCAGTTTGGACTTATACAAACTCTAAACAAAATGGTTAAGCCTTTAACACAGATATATGAACACAGACGCTGCGTTTAGGCAAGAACAACTGCATGATTATCTTTATTTTTGTAAAAGCAAGGTGAATCACAAGAAAAATTATTGTTTTTTAAACCAGCACCATTCATAAACTACAGAAGTGATGTTATGTAAGGGATAAAGTACAGTCAGCTGTCTTTACGTCATAATAAACCCTAATCCAAATCATGGCGACTAACAAAATAAGTACATGGACATGAAATATTGATTTTAATTTTAATTATTTTATCTTACTTAGCTTTTCTTTAAGAAAAAAAGTACATAACAGAAAACAAGTTTAAAAGAACAGCATTTATTTGAATTATAACATTATCAGTGTGCTTACTGTCACATTTTATTTTAAATGTTATGCATACTTGTTAAATAAATGTATTCATTTCTTTCAAAAAAGAAAAAAAAATGACCCAAAAATTCTTGAACAATAGTGCATTTAGCTCAAAAGTATCATGTTTTCCTCTCTTTCATCTTTATATAAGTAATGCTCAAGAGCGATACTGACATTTAGTTCAACAGAAAAATTAGGCAATCAGAGACTGGCCAATCGGATTCAAGTATTTCAAAGAGCCAAATAAGTACATTTAATGTTTTATTTTTCACACCAGCAAACTATTGACAGACTATTAACAAACTAAAGTCCTATCAGCCTTTGCTACAGCTGCCTGCAGAGAGAAAAGAAAACACTTACTATTCATAAATAACCACCCAAGTGATAAATTATTCAAATGGTACGGCAATAATAAACGAATGCAGTCACAGAACTGGAAGTTATGAATAGAGGATGCTTTAAAAAAGAGATGTAAAATGTAATTACTAGGCAGCCGTTCCACTGGGAGAGCTCAAGCTCATCTACAAAGAACATGAAAGAATAGAACAACCCAACAATACAAAGGTTCAAATGTCAGCAAAAAAAGAAAAAAGTGGAAGTGGCATGAGATAAAAAGACTGAGTACTTATTGCAACAATACTGGACAGAGCAGGTGCTGTTAATGAGTAAATCGACCCACGTACCATTAGGATATGGCGTTTCACACAGGGTGAGGAAATCTACAATGGAATAATCCATCTCCAATACTGCCGTGCTCTTTCCATGCATTACTGTCAAGCATGGCCGTCGACCAACAGTGTCATACGACAAACCACCAGAGAAGATCATAAATGGATCCCTGTTCAGAACACAAACATATACAGTACAGTGAGCTTCAAAAGTCTGAAAGTTTGTGCTTGTATTTTTCTCAAATTATTTTATCCGCATAACAGTCTGAGTAAGAAGAAGCTGAACTGAATGTCTTTTAGAATGCCTTTTCCTTTAACGAAAGAAGCACTTGAGCTGCACGAACACCACAAGTTTGTTTATTTGGTTGTGACCTAGAAATCATGCAGAATCTTAAGTACTTGTTATTTATTTTACATTGTAACTTTTTGAGCTTGAAATAAATTTTTAATCCCATATTTCAATGTGGTCTCAGACTATTGGACTCCATTTTTGGACCCCACATTTATTTGTGACATCTAAAACAAAACATCTAAAAGATAGTTCGCTAGAAAGGTTTAACTTATGAACACTACGGCTATGCTGGTTTACCAGCTTGACCAGCACAAAACAGCAAAAACCAGCCTGGACCACCATTCATGATGGTTTACGATTGTTTTTGCTGTAGGAAAAGTAAAGATGTATTGCTGCAGGTGTGTACTTACCCTGCTCTCGTGGTCTTGTACTCTACTTTAAGAATGGGTTTGCAAGGCTCTGGCTTTTTTCCATCTTTAGGCTGCTTTCCTGAAACAGAATCGGACTCATTCAGAGAGTTTCCTAACCTCCTTTTCTTCATGTATTTCTGACTGAAACAGGAAGTTATCAAATGACCGGTCTGTTTTTTGTTTTTTTTAAGTATTGCCAAAAGACTTTTGTTTTCTTAGATGTGAAACACTGTTCATTTTAGGGGTGTATTACCGAACAGGGGACTTCATATTCAATAAAGTGAAGCCACAAAACTTCCAGTAAATTTTCAAAATTTAAAAAACTGAAATTGTCATTTAGCATTTTAGGAGGAGACTTTACAGCCAACTGTCTATCAAGCATTATGTCACAAAAGAGTAGCGATGAAGGAAGAACACACAGGCTGAGGGTGGAATTTGGAAAAGAGCCTCCCTCTCCCACAGACAGGAAGCGTGTCACAGAAGAACTACGTAAGTACTTTCATAACAAAAAGAAATGTTCACTATGAAACAAATTGATTTATGTAATTTTCTTCTCCTCCTAAGCAGTTTGTTGAACGACAATCCTAAAAATGTAAACATCCCAAACAAATCTTGATTCTAGAATTTGGGTCTTTAGTTGGGCTCAGAAGAATATTTCTTGCCTTATGTAGAAATAGTCAAATAATGCATTTAAAATAATTTTGAAATGAACTTAAAGAATTGTGCTGTTATTCATATATTTAAATATACAATTAAATTAAAATAAGAAAATCTGCATCTGCTTGAGAGAAAAATGTAGCAGATTAGTCTCAGATTTTTAGTGTGGCTAAGATAAAAGACAGCAGGGCTAAATCCTCCCTAACGAGGGCCTACTAATGTCTATGAATTGAAAATACCAAATATAATTTTTTCAGCAAGGTTCTGACAACATTTTATTGCTTTTCCTAATTAGTTTTGTTTCTTTCTAAATCTGACTGTCTGATGTTCTCCTCTCATGGAGGCAGGGTGAGGCTGAAAGGGGTTCTTGTATGTAGTGGAGTATCTTCAATAGAGCAGGCAAGGACTGCACCAAAAGGAAGAGCATGACCTCACCTCACTCATCACTAAAGACCACAACACAAGCATTTCCATGGAGGAACAAAATGAAAATGAAAATTAAAGCTTCGCTTGAAATGGAAATCAGGGAAGGGGAGGTGATTGTTTTAAGCTTCTTTGTGAAGGAGGGGGAGAAAAAAATTACAATCCTGAATTAACAAGTCTTTGAGAGAGGTGTAATACAACCTTGTGAAATAGACATAAGAGCGATTCATTTTGCAATATTAATCCTGACGAAAAAAACATTTGAAGAAAATTAGTTTGTGTGTTTGAGCCAGAAAGAGAGAAAGATCACAAACCATGTGGCGTGATTGTCTGTACGGGCTTGGCTGGGGACTTTATATTCCATATGGTCAGTGTGCCATCTGAGTGACTACAGATAAACTGCTTCCCCTCGTGGTGCCAGGCCACAGAATGGATCGCCTGTGAGTGAGAATGACAGAAAAAGAGCAGGACATAAAAGTTAGTAATGCTTGCATGGGGACAGGCAACTCAATGGGAGATTTCTTAATAGATTTCCTCACACACGTAATGGCCAAGAACATGACCTGGGGGTGTAAGTTGTGACTACCCAGGTTGAAACAAGAGGCATGCTGGGATAAGTGATATAAATAAAGAAAGACTGTTTTTCTGGAGTTGAGCAATACAATTGCTACAAATAGTGAAGCTAGTAGGCCTGTTACACACATTCTGCATCTGTGGCTTCAGCAACATGAGGCCTGCAGCCTGCTCATATATTTAAATATACAATTAAATTAAAATAAGAAAATCTGCATCTGCTTGAGAGAAAAATGTAGCAGATTAGTCTCAGATTTTTAGTGTGGCTAAGATAAAAGACAGCAGGGCTAAATCCTCCCTAACGAGGGCCTACTAATGTCTATGAATTGAAAATACCAAATATAATTTTTTCAGCAAGGTTCTGACAACATTTTATTGCTTTTCCTAATTAGTTTTGTTTCTTTCTAAATCTGACTGTCTGATGTTCTCCTCTCATGGAGGCAGGGTGAGGCTGAAAGGGGTTCTTGTATGTAGTGGAGTATCTTCAATAGAGCAGGCAAGGACTGCACCAAAAGGAAGAGCATGACCTCACCTCACTCATCACTAAAGACCACAACACAAGCATTTCCATGGAGGAACAAAATGAAAATGAAAATTAAAGCTTCGCTTGAAATGGAAATCAGGGAAGGGGAGGTGATTGTTTTAAGCTTCTTTGTGAAGGAGGGGGAGAAAAAAATTACAATCCTGAATTAACAAGTCTTTGAGAGAGGTGTAATACAACCTTGTGAAATAGACATAAGAGCGATTCATTTTGCAATATTAATCCTGACGAAAAAAACATTTGAAGAAAATTAGTTTGTGTGTTTGAGCCAGAAAGAGAGAAAGATCACAAACCATGTGGCGTGATTGTCTGTACGGGCTTGGCTGGGGACTTTATATTCCATATGGTCAGTGTGCCATCTGAGTGACTACAGATAAACTGCTTCCCCTCGTGGTGCCAGGCCACAGAATGGATCGCCTGTGAGTGAGAATGACAGAAAAAGAGCAGGACATAAAAGTTAGTAATGCTTGCATGGGGACAGGCAACTCAATGGGAGATTTCTTAATAGATTTCCTCACACACGTAATGGCCAAGAACATGACCTGGGGGTGTAAGTTGTGCCTACCCAGGTTGAAACAAGAGGCATGCTGGGATAAGTGATATAAATAAAGAAAGACTGTTTTTCTGGAGTTGAGCAATACAATTGCTACAAATAGTGAAGCTAGTAGGCCTGTTACACACATTCTGCATCTGTGGCTTCAGCAACATGAGGCCTGCAGCCTGTTTTTTAGACAATCAGCATTTCTGCTGCGGCTCTATCAAGAAAACATGAGGAAGGGTGTCACATTTACATCCAAGTGTTGTTTAGTTTTACACAGAACTGTACCCAAACCCCAAAGTAGCTGGTTTTAAAATCATGTTGCTAAGCTATTTTAGCAGGACAGAGATAAACTCCACAATTTCCCTTTGCAATATTTCTGGAATCAAGTCATGTGTCTGGTATTTTCTGCAAGCTATTTAGAACCAGAATGAGTGCTTCTCTATATAGAATAGTCTGTAGCTTAGCTGTAGAGTTTTTAATGTTTTTGGAAAAAAAGTCAAGGCTGCTTTTTTTTATCATAAATACAGTAAAAACAGTAATATTGTGAAATATTACTAAAATTTAAAACAACAATTTTTAATAAATAATTTATTACTGTGATGGCAAAGCTGAATTTTTAGCAGCCATTACTCCAGTCCTAAGTGTCACATAATCCTTCCAAAATCTGGTGAGAAGTTTGGTGCTCAAAAAAAAAATAAAAAAATGATATTATCATTGTTGAAAACAGTTGTGCTGCTCTTCTGAGAATTTTTTTTTTTTGACATTTTAAAAATTTCAGGATTCATTGATGAACATTTATTGAAAAATATGATTCATTAGTTGCACATCAGTAGCTTTGTTTCTTTATATAGCTTTGTTTTGTACTGTTATTTTATTGACTGAAGGCTTTGGCAATACTATGGGGAAAACAGTCAGGACAATATAGCACAATGAATGGAACAGAACTGAATCAAGTGGAAGAGAAAGAGAGAGAATGCACAGCTTGAGACTTATGTATTGAGAAAAAAGGGAGCGAGTGAATGCACAAAGAAGGCTGAAAGAGAGTTCTCATTATTTTCTAATTAAGCGCAGTCTCCTCTTGTTTAGCATAATGATGGCGGCTCTATCTCTGTCTCCGGCAGACAGTGGGGACGAACCTCAGCAGACCTAACTAATCAATGAACCGAGCAAACATCATTACAGGAGCATCCAGAGAGGAGGAGCCAGACGACGAACACACGCGCACACACCCACACACACAAATATGCTTAAGCACATCAGAACACCAAATCATCATAGACACATGGGGCTAGTCTTATTTGACTTGGTCCAATTGGCAGGACAATACTCTAGCAACTTCCCAGAACACCCTAGCAACCACTTATAAACATAAAAACAAGGATGCAAGAAAAAATGTAAATGGAGAAAGCAATATTATTAAAATCTCTATTACACAAGAAACAAAAGGAAAAAAAAATGCCTGTCCATTTATCTCCATCCTTTACTAGCACTGATGCTATCCTTATCCTTATATTCAGCATTTCCATCCATCTATAACAACACAGCTCCTCAACGCCTCAGTGCTAATTCTGCTGCTCACTGCACCTCAGTGAACCCTTCAGCACTAATAGCTTCCCATGATCTGATATAATGTTAATTCTGCTGTCTATTGCACTTCTGTGACCCCTTCAAAGATAAAAAGGTTCCCAGGCAACATCTGCATAACTAAAGACTGCATACTGTTAATTATAAACAGTAAAGGACTATGTGGGGTCTGATGAACAATGGTGTTTCATGGTATGAGCGTGACTCTGTGCTGAGCCAAAATGACACCTTGCTACTCCTACGGAGTAGTGAATTGTAGGACATTTATCTCTGCTGTACTAATCAATCAAGTTAAATGAAGGCAGGAATAAATCAGACATCCAGCCAGGCACAGTCATTCATCAGGGTACAGATGAGTTGTTCTATGAGAAATTAACTCTCACTCACACACACCCACATACACTAACACACCAATGAGGGAGTTACAAAGTAAACACTGAATAAAAAATTCAAGTCCTTTCGTCTGATTGTTAATCCAAAACAAACATTTATTCATACTCAAACAAAATCAATGAATCACACAAAACATTCTGGAAGAAATGTGCAAGTTGTTATCACCATAATTCAACTCTACATTTATGAAAGACATAGCTCACCTGAAAATGAACACTCTATCATTTACTTCACCTGTCTTTTTCTGGGAATTTTCTTTGTTTCAGACTTAAATTTCATTCTGTACCGGACACAAAGTTACTGGATGACTTTTAAGATACTTTTATGGCACTTTTTAAAGACTTTTTTAAGATCCATAGCTTCAGTCTCAAGTTATTGTACTGTAAATGCATGGGAATGAGTGGTCAGGAAATGCATCAAAATTTCTTTTAAAAATGACATGTCCTCTGCCATCTGAACTTTAAACCTCTTTGTTTTTAGAGATTCAGTGATAGTCTGAAATGATAAAGTGTCGGAGTTCTGTCAGCCAAGAGGGAGGGACAATGTGTCTAAGGACTTTAAGACCCATTAAGAACTGAGTGGACCTGTTATGGATCGATGCCCCGTTCAGGGGCAGAAGTGGGATGGGAGAGAGAGAGACAGAGAGTGGATCGTCACTATAAAGGCGCCTATGAGGAGCTCCCAGCTGCCAGAGAAAAAGACAGACAGTTTGTCATCCACACAAAGGTAAAACCCCAGCAGGTGTTTGTCTCTCTGCTCCCCACTGACTGTGCGCTGGCAATTAGCGAAGGTAAAATTAATGTCTAAAAAGATGCATTTGGAAGTAGCTGGAGCATTTGTTCATCTCCTTCATATCTCCTCGATCATTTGTTTTCAAAAACAACATAATTTGCTAACAAGCTGTGTGAGATTAGACCCAATTACTGAACTGTGCTGCACTGTAGGAAAGAAGTGTCTTATGAGTTCAGAATGGAGAGAAACAAGAGCTTTGTGTGAAGTAAGGGAAATGAATTATTCATGTCAGGAAGTGTTGATTTGTTTTCATGCAGATGTGTAGGCACTGCTTTACCTTGCCCTCATCCATAGGATTGTCACTAATGTGAACGACTGGTCCGGGGTGGGCCTTGGAGGACCTGTGGGAGAGAGACAAGTTTGGGATTGGTGTTAGTCAAGGAAACAGGATGGAGGACTTCAAATGCATAACGGGAAATACAGTATGAAGCCAGTGAGGAAACAATCCTTGGGGATGTGCGTGTTTGACTGAGCTCAAAAGCTTTTTTTTTTTATGTTGGGTTTGTTGTTTTTTAAATAAGTCTCAACAAGGCTGCATTTATTTGATCAAAAATACAGTAAAACAGTTATATTGTGAAATAGTATCCTGTGATGGCAAAGCTGAATTTTCAGCAGCCATTCCTTCAGTCTTCAGTGTCACATGAACCTTCAGAAATCATTCTAATATGCTGATTTGGTATTTATTTATTTATTTTTTAAAAGACCTCAAACTTTTGAATTGTAGTGCATTTTGTAATTTATGCAGTGTGTTTATGAGTGTGATTATAAGTATGTTTCCCAACATGCTCCAAAGAATGAATACATCAGTTCAGTTTGGTATCCCATACAACTAAAAACAAGGATTATCATGCAGATCCATCATCAAACATTTCTAAAATAAATAACTATATATAATTAATCATTTAATAATAATCTCTGTTGCATGACAAACCCCTTCAACACACAGCCAAGAGGGAGGGACAATGTGTCTAAGGACTTTAAGACCCATTAAGAACTGAGTGGACCTGTTATGGATCGATGCCCCGTTCAGGGGCAGAAGTGGGATGGGAGAGAGAGAGACAGAGAGTGGATCGTCACTATAAAGGCGCCTATGAGGAGCTCCCAGCTGCCAGAGAAAAAGACAGACAGTTTGTCATCCACACAAAGGTAAAACCCCAGCAGGTGTTTGTCTCTCTGCTCCCCACTGACTGTGCGCTGGCAATTAGCGAAGGTAAAATTAATGTCTAAAAAGATGCATTTGGAAGTAGCTGGAGCATTTGTTCATCTCCTTCATATCTCCTCGATCATTTGTTTTCAAAAACAACATAATTTGCTAACAAGCTGTGTGAGATTAGACCCAATTACTGAACTGTGCTGCACTGTAGGAAAGAAGTGTCTTATGAGTTCAGAATGGAGAGAAACAAGAGCTTTGTGTGAAGTAAGGGAAATGAATTATTCATGTCAGGAAGTGTTGATTTGTTTTCATGCAGATGTGTAGGCACTGCTTTACCTTGCCCTCATCCATAGGATTGTCACTAATGTGAACGACTGGTCCGGGGTGGGCCTTGGAGGACCTGTGGGAGAGAGACAAGTTTGGGATTGGTGTTAGTCAAGGAAACAGGATGGAGGACTTCAAATGCATAACGGGAAATACAGTATGAAGCCAGTGAGGAAACAATCCTTGGGGATGTGCGTGTTTGACTGAGCTCAA